TCACCCTACCTCTCTCCTTCTTTCTCACTCTCTCCTTCTATTTTTCTTTTATTCCATTTTTTTTATACTTACTCTTTTTAGTTTACTTTTTTTCATTTTTTTCATTATTTTTTTATCTCTTTCTCTCTCATCTCTCTTTCTCTCTCTCTCTCTCTAACTCTCTTTCTTTCTCGAACTATCTCTTTCTATCTCTTCATGTCATTTTCGTTATTTGTTATTTCGTTATTTGTTATTTTTATATGTTTACTCACATTTCATTTATTTGTTTTTTCTGTTTGTGTTCTTTCCATTTTCTCTTCCCATCCTAACTTCATTTTCCTCCAACATACTCTCGCGTAGTGCCTGTCGAACCAGATAGAACATTCACGTCTCCACAGTAATATGGTCCATTCTTTTGGGAATTATTGTTTTATTTTATTATATTTTGTTGTTAACATTTAATGAACACCAATTCACTTTCAAGAGCTGTTTTATGTTTAATAGTTTTAATTACCGTATGATTGTGTGTTGATGGATTAGTTGTTTGGGTTGTTAGAGTAGTTAGAGAGGATTTAATGTTTTATGTTACATAATGGGCGTGTTATGTGGAAAATTTTATGCTTTGTGTGTGTTAGTGTCGTAAGCGTTGTAGTAAATTTTAAGTTTTACTTGATTTATCGTATGTGTGATGTACATTGTCGGGCTTTTAATGCTGAATTATTTATTATTCATCACTTCTCGGTGATGTTTCTGTAGAAGTTACATCGCGGCTACAATTTTCCGGCCTGTGGTTTGTTTGATATCTGTGAGATTTTATTTCTGTTTTTATTTAGAGTTTTAATTTGAGGAGTATTTTTTTCGTATGTCTATTTTTTCTCTGTGTCTCTCTCCATCTTCGAACTGTTCTGAATGTTGTGTAATTAAATTTTACACAGCACGTTCACGACTCTTATCTTATATGCATCTCCTAAAAAAAATGCTTCCACTTTCTCCTCCATTCATTTGTATTTTCATTTGTTTTTTTTTATTTATATGTTGCTTGGTTTTACGTGTATTCCTTCTACACGTATGTTATAATGTTGTTGTTTGTTGTTGTTGTTATTTAGTGGCAGTTTTGGTTATGTACGTTGTCATGTAGTTGTTGTTGCATAGTTGTTGCATATTAGTCGTTGTTATGTAGTAGTAGTAGTTATTGTTGTTGTTACATATTAGTTGTTGCACAGACTCTTCGGCCATTACTTATTCAATGATTTATTTAGGTGCGTGTTGTTGCGTGGTATGCATTCATCTTTCTTATATTCATTTTCATTTATTTTTTAATTCAAGTTTCTGGAAACAATCAACAATTTTTTTTTATTTACGCCAAATGAAATTTTTAGAACAAATAGTTTGACCGTTGATGATAGGATGGAGTATTTACTGGCTGTTAAAAATAAATAATCATTCAACATTTTATAATTTGGCGAACGATTTAACATTTTTACAACATTCGATAAGAATCTCTGAAAAACTTAAGAATATAATCTCAAAAACATCGCAAAGAATTTCATTGTGATCAAGATATATCAACATAAAACAGTTTACAATATTCAAAAAGCTACATGAAAAGGAACATGTCACAACATTTTAAGAAAATAATTATATAAATATTTTTATGTACCGTAAATTTCTCTTCTAAAAATGACCAGATAAAAGAATCTTACAAAAAACTGACACAGAAAAATTGAAACTAAAAAAAAGTCTATCTTCGAAGGTGTATAATAATGGATATGTTTGGATGTTTGCGTTTGTTTGTATATGTGTTTGTATATGTTTGTATATGTTTGTATATATGTTTGTATATGTGTTTGTATATGTTTGTTTATGTTTATGTATCTCTTCAATGGCCATTTGTAAGAACGACAAACACTTTTTGTGGCATAAATCATCCGGTAAAGTGAAAAATAGATAAAAAGAAAATTTTTTTTTTATTTATTTCAGAATGAATCATGAAACGCGTAAAATCAAAACTGGATGTTCATGTTAAAATAATAGTAGAGGGGGGTAAATAAATAACGGGAAAACTGTAATGCTGGAAAATTTTGATTAAATGAATGAATGATGAATGAATGAATGAATGAATGAACGAACGAACGAACGAACGAACGAACAAACGAATGAATGAGCGAAAGAATAAAGGAATGAATGATTGATTGAATGAATGAATGAACGAGCGAACGAACAAACGAATGAATGAACGAAAGAATAAAGGAATGAATGATTGAATGAATAAATGATATTCTCATCCTCTCTCTCTCTCTCTCTCTCTCTCTCTCTCTCTCCTCTCTCTCTCTCTCTCTCAGTCAATCTTAAATACTTGCAACTCGTGACGGGTCTTTGAACTTTGATGGTCAAGATTCAATAATTAAAGAGGTGAGATGGTGAAGTGGCGAAGATGAGAGAAAGAAAGCTGAAGAAAAAATTTATAAAGAAAAAGACTAAAAATGGACGTATTCTTCTTGTCAATCTTCCCCCATCAAAACTTTGTCTTGTTTTGTTTTTAAAATTTGTACACATTTATAACTTTGTCTGCTAGCAGTATGATCGTCGTCATCATCACGACAAGCCTTGCGTTATCATTTGTAATTTCATCTTCTCATCTTGACATCAAACTCATTATCATTTTTTTTATCATCGTCGTCTCTTATCACCATCATCGTCACCATCTTCATCATTATCTTCACCATCATCTTCACCACTGTCATTGCCATTTTCACCACCATCATCATTATCATCGTCATCGTCAACGACAGCGTTTGTAGTAGGGCACTTTGCTTACGTCAAAAAAATAATTTTCAACAAATGATAAATAGTCATCCTTAACAAATGCATGCATACAAACACACTTACCTAAATTACACACACACACACACACACACACACACACATACACACACACAAACACATACACACACACATACACACACACACCGACACTCTAACAAAGATACACACAAACACACCCTTAAACAGTTCTACTGAAAAAAAATTTTTAAATACCCAAAATACACGCAAAACTTTATACACAAACGAACACAACAATCTTAAATCTAACACAAAAATAAACTAATATACACACACCGACACTCACACACATACACACACACACTCACACACACACACACTCATATATTTTATATATACACACACATGAACTTTTTATAAAAAACATAGAATTTATATATATGGGACATTTCGAGATGATAAATTGTTTCATTAAGGGTATTAAACTATTTTCCTTTGTGTATTTACTTAAAGGGCCACAATAATATATATATATACACACACACATGTATATACATATATATATATATTTATGTGTGCATGTGTATGTATGTGTGTGCGTGCGTGTGTGTGCGTGTATGCATGTCTGTGTGTTTATATTGTTTATATTTTAATATATATCTATGGTTTTCATTAATTTTCAATTAGTCAATTTATGAATTCCAATTATATGGATCGGATTTCATTTTTTCATTAACAATTTTTCTAATGAGCTGTGTCGGTTAAGTTTGATCCATACTACACGGCACTTCACCGCACCACATAACAATCGACACCACACCACACAGTGCGACACTCCAGTTTCTTATCCACCAAACACTCGATAACATGTAATGACCGTTCATGGAGCCCTCGATACATCAAATCGCCTATTTACTTCACTAATAGTTTTGCCATCTTATTTTTATAGTGTACACATATGAAAGTGTTTGATTTCTGTGTGTGTATTTGTCCATCTCTTCCTCTCTCTCTCTTCTTTTCTCTAGGTTTATGCGTGTATATATAAAAGTACTCTCTCTCTCTCTCTCTTTCTCTCTCTCTCTCTCTCTCTCTCTCTCTGAGTGTGTTCGTGTGAGTTTAAACAAGTGTTCATCTGTAGTGGTAGTACATGTACGGATATGTACGTGTTTATATATGTGTGTGTACGTGTTTATATATATATATATTTATGTGTGTGTGTGTGTGTATACGTAAGTGAAGTGTATGCATGTACGTGTATGTACGTGTATATATGTGTACGAGTTGTTTGTAAATTGATATGTACATTTTTTGGTTTTCTCATATACGTAATGAGAGTTAGTTTCTGCATTTTTTTTGTCTATTAGCTGCAATTTCTCAATAAAACCTCCAGGAAACATTGAAAAATTTTGTTTTTATTATTATTATTTTTATATTCACCGTTGTTATGGATTTTATTATTGTTTTTTTTATTATCATTGTTATTATTAATTATTTGTTATCGTATCTCTTTATTCTTTCCCGTGCTATTAATGTATTGTAATTGTAGTATGTTATCTATATAGCGCTAATTATAAATGCTAGCGAACTCAGTGTTAATCATTCCGTAGTTTAGAATTTCGAGACGGACAGCCAGAAGTCTTTTAGAAAAAATTTTTTTTGGTTTCTCGCTAATATACCGAAACTAAAATTTAAAAAATTAAATGATAAAAAAATTTTGCCTTTGAAAGTTTTCGTTTTTTGCCTCTCAAACACCGCTGACGATATAGTGTTACGATCATATTATTTATTCAGTTTTTTCAGGGTTCATTATTTTTATATATCATAATAATAATAATTATTATTGTTATAATCATGATTATTATGGTTATAATTATTTTTATTATCATTATTATTATGATTCTTTTTTTCCTCCTTGTAGTTTCATATTTTTTCAAAGTTTAGCTAAAGTTTTCTTGCGAAAAGAGATGCCATTTAATATCTAGTTTTTCGTTCTCGCGAGAAACTTAGAGCCTCTGGTCACACGTTCATTATTATTTCTATTTTGTTATTATTATTAACATTCTTCTTCTTCTTTTTCTTCTTCTTTCTTCTTCTTCTTCTTTTTCTTCTTATTATTATCATCATTTTATGTTTTCATAAGGTCTTTTTCAGAGGCATCAACGAGAAACAAACTGTGCGTGCATGTATAGTAAGTACGTACATACACGTGTAACAACGCATCACACCGGCGACATGTGATGGTCATGGGTCTCATTTCAATAAGAGTACCTACCAGATATTTTACCGTTATACCATCGCACTGGTAATAGAATATAATTAATAGTTATAATAATAAAATAAATAATAAAAACAAAAATAAGAAGAATAACAAAAATGATAATAATAAGCTTAAAGGTTGGACAATACAAAAATCTAAAATTTTAACAAATATAGAAATATTTATAGTATAAAAATAGTAATCACCTATGGATTTTTTCTACTTCCACTTTTACAACTGCAACTACTACTACTGCCGCAACTACTACTACTACTGCTACCACTAACACTAATATTAATGATAAATTTTCGATCAATGTTTCTCTCCTCATCATCAACCAACTTGAAAATATTATTCTCCACAAGTGCAAACGATTTGCATCATTTCTTAAGCAGGCCATGATGATGTATCTAAATGATGACATGCATTTAAATCCAGGCAATCAAACAAGCAATCTAAACCAAAGAACTCTGGCGTCATTTGCTCGTCATTCAAAAGTTTCATTACGGGCACATACAAATTTAATCATACACATGCAAATACATTTACTCGTATTGTATGTATTGTACATTCTGTATCTAAGTAATCGAGAAACATTTTTCTTCTCACAAATTGAAAAATTGTTTATACAACAAATACGTAAATAAAAACAATCCAATAAGTTTATACACGCCAACAAAGGTATGAAGACATAAAATACAATATGTAGATAATAAACAGAGATTTGTACACGTCATGATGAAGTCACGATGACGTACATGTCACTTTTTTGCGTCATCGTCAACGGATTGAGCCTTGGGTGATTGGTTGTTTAATTTGAGTGATCGATCGATTGATTGGTTAGCTGGTTGGTCGGCTGTCTGGTTGATTGACTGATTTGTTGTCTGATTGAATGAGTAAACATTTGGATGAAAGAATGATCGATCGATCAAATATCATCATCACCATCGTCCATTTAAACATCTATTATTACTATTTTCCTTCCCCATTTTTTTTTCTTCTTCCTCTTCCTCACCACCACCTTCATCAGTTTCTGATTCGTCAACACCGTCATTGCACATTCATCTTCACCCTCATTCAGTGGTCAATGATTGGTGTGACCTTGATACGGGCCCGGCAAACATCCTTGACATCAACGGCCACCAACATTCCATCTACGCCAGCCTCAAACGTGACGGTTCACTTTGGGTCAGACTCGGTCTCGACTATTCGACTGCGATCGACTGGTCCGTCACAAGTAGCAATCGGTTAAAGTTTCAAACCCGCCTGCTAAACGACTCTCAAACCGATTTATTGAAGAATTTGACATACACCGACTACTGCGTGCTAACGGATCTCGAGTTGAGTTTAAACGTCAAAGCGGCCTGGAATCCAAGCTTTATAACTTATTTTGAACCGTCAGTAAAAGAGAATCGAATCGTTTCGTTACGACCGGTGAAGGATTGCGGTTCGAAAACATCGATTCGGTTATCCGGTGGCGGACAGGAATTGAAATGTGAGGGTGCTAACAACAATCCTTGCTTGTTCAAGAAAAATGTGCCTCTACATCATCATCATCAGCAACATCAGTATTCGTCGTCATCGTCCTTGCCATCATCACTAACGACTATTTCTTCATCGTCATCATCTTCCTCATCATTCTCCTCCTCATCGTCACAATCATCATCAACAACGTCATCATCATCAACAACGTCATCATCATCAACAACGTCATCAACATCAGCAGCAACATCATCGCCATCGCCATCTACCAACTTCTTGAAGTACGTAAGCATGGACATGAGAGGACCTGACCACTGGTTTTGCAGCAGTGGGGGCAGCGGCCACACGGGCGACGCCAGCTTTTCCTTCAACGGCTCCTATTACCACGTCTACATCAAGGTCGACCAATGTAGGATTAAAACTGGTTCGTAGTGTGTTCTCTGTTTGTTTTTGGTATGTTTATTTATTTGTGTGTTTGTATGTTTTTTTGTTAGTTTGTTTTGAATTAGTTAATTAGTTTGTTTGTTTGTTTGCTAGAACGCTGGTTGTTTCTGCGTCGGTTTGTTTGTTTTTCTTTTTTGAGTTTGTATGTTTTTACGTTCCTCATTTTTTATCTGTCAGTGTTTTTTTTCGTTTTTGTGGCCATGTTTTCTTTTTGTAGTGAAATAAATTTATTCATTTCAAGGTTGAGTGTGGTTATTAATCTAAGAGTAGATAAATTCACAAATGAATGAATGAATAGAATGAACGAGCAGACGAATGAGTGAATGAATAACTAAATAGAATATAGAAAACAAAATAACGATTGAAGATATGAAGATGAAACGACTACACAAATGGATAACTAATACACACTCAGCTTATTAAGTAGCCTACTCAATCATTCCTTCTTTCGTCCTTTCATTCAATCCTTCATTCGTTTTTTCACTCATTCATTCAATGATACATTTTGTCTCTATATTTTTGTTTTTGCTCATTCGTTCATTCATTCCTATTTTTGTTCATTCATTAATTCATGTCAATGTATTTTGATGAAAAAAATGAATGTAAGAGTGAAAGATTAGAAGATGGATGGGTAAATAAATGAATAAAAAGATAGATTGATTGAGAGACGGATAGGTAAAAGGATGAAGAAGAGGTTAGATGGATAGATAGATAGATGGATGGATAGATGGATGGATAGATGGATGGATGGATAGATGGATGGATAAATGGATAGACTGAAGGTGATGACCACCCTCCCCCACATCATCCATTTCTCTCGCTGGCTGATTAATTGTCAATGGAAAGTACTACGATAGTGGGAAAAAAATATTTGAGAGAGATAAGAGAGAGAAAGAGAGAGAGAGAGAGAGAGAGAGAGAGTGAAAAAAGAGAAAAAAAGAAACAAAGCTAAAACTTAGTGCAAAGTCGAAAATAAAATAAAAAAATTAATAAAAATATTTGATGAAGTTCGTATGCAATAATGAAAATACACTCAGCAAGAGAATAATAAGAAAATCAACAAGGAAAAAAAATGAAAGAAAGAAAAATAAAGAAAGAGAAAAAAAGGAAGAGGAAGAGAGTGACTGCGGGTATAATTATTACCGCTAAAAGTGCATTCGATTTAAATTCATGACGTCAGAGCTCTTCATCCGTCCATCAATTCATCATGGTAACGTACGTGGGTTGTACGCATATCCGTGCGTGCACGCATATATATGTGAACACTTGTGCGTGCGTATGTGTGCGTGCGTGTGTGTGTATGTGTTGTGTGTGCGAATGTGTGTATGTGTGTGCGAATGTGTGTATGTGTGTGTGTGTGGCTTTTGTGTTTATATGCGTATGTTTTATATTTGTTCGTTAATTTTATATTTATAAGATTCGTCCTCCATTTACAATCATTAAAACAATGCATTTAAATTCTTCTCATAAAAAAAAACCAATTCATACCAAACCACAACAGAAAAGAATAACAATAAAAACAATAAAAATAGCAAAATAAAAACTTTGAACAACAGCAAAAACAATAAGAAGAAAAAGGGAATCAATTAGGAAGAAAACAAATCGTGACGCAGGCATGACGTCATCATTGCGCAGATTGGCTTCTGTGCATGCCTGAGTCCATGCTTTGTTTACTTTTTTGTTTACGTTTTTCGTTCACTTTTTCCTCTATTTGTTTTAATTTGTAAAACTTTCTGTAACAATTTTAAATTTTTGAAAGAAATTGAAAATTTCAGAAAAAAATTATGCGAAACAACGACAAACAATGAAAAAAACCATATCATCATCATCATCGTCGTTATCATCATCGTTCTCTTCATCGTCTTCTTCATCATCGTCGTTATCGTCATCACAATCATCATCATCTTTTTTTTTATTTTTCTAATTTGTTTCTTACCCACCATTCAACGGACTTACTCCATACTCACAATTCTTCATGTTTCGCTTTTTAAAGAATGATATTTTCGTCAACTTTTATGAATTTTTTGTCAAATCACGCCAATGACAGCAACGAAAATATATACAAAAACGCCAACAAAATCGGAATCATCAACAACAACACAAATTGCACTATCAACAACAGCGAAAACAATAGCAACAACACAACAACGCATCAACATCAACCATATGAGATATCTCTTTCAAAGAGAATATTTCAGCTAAGAAAACTGACAAAAAACAATTACTCCATAAATCAAACGCTTTAAAAAACGACAACAACAACCAACAACAAAATCAACAATAACAACTACAAACACCACAACAATAACAACAACCCCAGCAATTGCAATATAACAACAGCAATAACAATCGCAACAGCAAAACATCAATAAATACTCTTACACTACACATGCCAAATTGCAAAATTATGAACTTTTCAAAGCAGTAAAACTTAAAAAAAACCAGCCACTTAAACAACAACATCATCGTAAACAAAACCAACAACATCAAACATCAAATCAAATTTTAAACAACGTTAAAAAAATGAAAAACGCCAACAAAATCATGAACTACAACGTTATAAACAACAACATCATCATAAACAGCAACAACATAATTGTAGTAGTAGTAACGGTAATAAAAGTAGTAGTAGTAGTAGTAATAGTAGTAATAGAAGCAGTAGTAGTACTGGCAGAAACAGTAGCAGCAGCAGTAGTAGCAGTAGTAATAGTAGTAGCAGTAGTAGTAGTAGTAGCAGTAGTAGTAGCAGTAGTGGTAGTAGTTAATGTCGCAGTAAATAGCAGAGTAAAAAAGAAAGAGTATTTTATTAATGTAGGCAGTAGTAGTATAAATAGAAGTGATGTTGTGTCATTTTTGAAATTTAAAAATGTCAACAGTGATTCGTGTGCTGTGCTATTATTAATTCATCATCTCAAAATATCATCACCTCCATTATCAACAACATCGTCGTCATCGTCATTATCATCATAATCACTATCTTCATCATCGTCACTTCATCATACAGTTTGCGTGTCTATGCTTAAATACACACGTGTATATGTGTGTGGTGTGTGTGTGTGTGTGTGTGTGTGTGTAGTGTGGTATGTCCTGTCTGTTGTCTGTCCGTTTGTGTTTGTGCGTGCAAGAATGAATTAGAAGAATATCTACACGTGCATTTGCATTAAAGTCAAATGAATTATATTTACGTTAAAATATACAGATAATAAAAATAAGAATAATAATAATAATAACTGAAATAAAGTCAAAATAATACAAAATATAATAATACTGAACTACGAAGTTAGACAAACATAGAAATACAAGAGGCGAAAGATTAAAATCATCAAAACAAACATTTCGAAATGCAATGCAAACAAACATACAATCATTAAGATAGTCTAAATTATGATACAAATACAAAAAAAAACATATACAGAAATAGAAACATAAAAACGTACAAAATGTATACAAGTTTGAAAATTATTCAAACGTCTGCAGTTAAACGAAAAAGCCAAAGAAAGCAAAACACAAAAGACAAACATCCAAAACATTCATACCAGGCATGCAAAATACACAAACCTACATACCACATACACAAACGCACATACAAAACATACAAACAAACATTAATGTATAATTGAATTTTCTCCTAAGGAACTCTGCAAGACATATAATGAAGTTACAGCGATAGTAAATATGTAAGTGTGGCAAGGCTTTCCAGACATAATAATAATAATAATAATAAAGATAAATAAAAATAATAATAACAATAATAATAGCAACAAAAAATGGATTTTTTTTATTATAAATTTTGAAAAAAAAAACTTATCACGAGCATTTATTTTTCCGTAACCTTTTCCTGTTTTTCGTATTTTTTTTCATTTTTAATTTTTTTAGCTTTTCCATTCATTTATTCATTTTCAATTATTTTCCAGCCATTTTTTTCATCCATCCATCAACTAACTTTCCTATTTTGTTTTTCCGTGAATGCTAAACAAGCAGATTTTCAGGTTGACAATTTAAAAAAAATTAAAAAGAAACAAACGTATATAGTAAAATGATTTTTTTCAACAAAAAATATAAACAATTTCAAGATAAAAAAATCAATTAAACAAAATATACCAAAAATAGCTTTAATGTTATCATCGAAACCACACACACACACACACACACCACACACACACACACACGCGCGCGCGCACACACACAAATTTTGTTTAGCATGAATTCTGGCATCACACACATTACAATGCTTGTGAAAAATGAGGATCTTTATGCGTTCGAACCCTGTCATTGCAACAGCAGCAGGACCAGGCGGTTTAACCACTACACCACCTTACCTCTCTACACTACTTGTAACATCATTTGTAACAAAATTCACATACATTTATTCACACACACGTTTAAACATCAAACTATTTGAAAAAATTTTTTATATGAATTCCGTGAAATGATAACAAAAAAAAGCACGGACAAAAACATTAGCAACATCATCCCAAAACAACAAATGTAAAAACACATTAACAACATTATAACACCAACAACATCAACAACGACAACAACAACAAAAACGACAACAACAACAACAACGACAATAAACAAACCAAGAACAAAAAACATCTCACGTTGTTTTGTCGGTCGGCACAGCTGATCAACAATTTAAACTCTAATTAGCACAGATGATACAACCGTAAACAACAAGACGCTATAATAAAGATGGCTCCAACTATTACGAATACCGCCATACACACACGCACACACTTACAAACACACACACACACACACAGACAACACACACACACAAACACACACATACTTACAAACAAACATGTCTGCATACATTGATTCTCACGAGTAAACTACACCAACAACAACATCAGTAACATCAACAACAACGCCAAAAACAACATCAACAACTAAAGACAAAATGAGGTTTGACTGAATGTCAATCACACTTGTGCCACAAAGCATTCCAAGATTAAACATCCATGTCGTCTCGTCGTCATCAC